TGTCTTATTCTTTTCTTCTATTAATCTTTGAATCGGTGAAAAAATATTCAATTTAACAAGCTATTAAATGCATAAGAAATCAGTCAATCTGAAAAAAAGATTTTAGTCAAATGCTCTTTCATATAAACAAGAAAATGCTATTTTTAAATCTTATTTTATCAGCTCAAATATAGATTTCATTATATTTTTCCATGTAAATATCTATTATTGATTAATGAGACAGAATGAATATTATTTACACCTTTTCTGGAAGAACCTAATTAATATAATGCATTTTGCTCAAAACCGCAGTATATTAAAGTTTTTGTAAGACATCGTTTTAAAATCATTTTGCATGATTTATATATGCCTCTAGTGGAAGAAACTTAATCATATAGATTTAAAATTTTTAAGGGGGCCGTCTATAATTTCCATTGCGCAATATTTCGCGCATCATAGTAAAATGAAGCATATTTACTGTTTTAATGCAACTTTTTTCGCTTAATTCTTAAAATTAAACAAAATTAAGAAATTATAGGTATAAAAATTTAATTATAATTTGATATAACTGATTATTTAACCGATTTTGCAATTGATAGGTAGGTTGACGTCGCTGCAGTGTCTCTTTGACGTTATGTTAATCTGTAGCTCTTTAAGAAAGGGGTAATAAAAATATTATTACAGTAAAAGTAATAAACATACGCTCTTGAAATTTAAAACATAGAAATTTTAGAATATCTACAATATTTTTATTATGTTTTCTTGTGAATCCATAGTTTATGTCATATTTTGTAGTACTCTATAAAAATAGTAAAATTTGCCATTTTTTTGCATTTTGAGATGCCCCCTCTGTTAACAAGACGGTAGAATTTTGTGTTTCTTACATATAGTGTATAACATAGTATTACTCATAAAATATTATAGTTTGAACAAAATGTCTAATGTAGTCTTTGTATAATTTGCTTTAAAGTGCTAAAAATTGGCATTTTTCTATATAATCCATAGTAAATGTACCTGTATTTTGAGACGGTCCCTCAAAAATACCTGGACAGTAGATTTCCCCCAAACTTTGCATGTACACTGAAATTAATGTAAGTTATATATGTTATAAAAATGAAGAGTTTTGCTATTGTAGTTTTCACACAATAAAACTATAGTCGGCCCCCTTAAATGAAATCGTTTTAAAATAATTACGTGTCTTCTAAAAAGATAATTTACAACGATCACAAATCACCTAGGAACAGGTGCCCGTCATCATCCCAATAAGAGGTCACTGAAATGCAAGTGCCATTAAACCGACTGAATGATCACGGAAAGTCGGAGGAAAGGTACTTTTCAGTGACTTTCAGAAACCATTCAGTGGGCAATCAGTTACTATTCCGTCGACTGAATAAACCCGGTGAACATTAACGATAACAGACCTGGTGTCCTGTTTACAAAAACAATTTCACCTGTTTCCCGGATGTATGCTATTTTGTTAAATTCTGCACATGTCACAGAACGCAGACAGACAGTTCTGCTTTCTCAAATTTCTTCTCTGAAATTGCTGGATTATACTTTATCAAAAAGTTTTAAAACTGCAGTGTTAAATAAGTCCTATAATTATAATATGGTCTAAACTTCTACTTCAGTAAGATGGGCTACCTTTCTAGTATACTAGAAGGGAACATTTTTTTGGTTCAAGCCTCGCTCGGTTCAATAATCATTTTTTAAATAATCCTTTAATTCCTTTGTGAGTTTCATTTAATCTACTGATTTATTAACGTTTGAATTAGATAAATTAGGAAGTTGCACCGAAAACGAAATCAATTCCAATCTTCTATTCTACTTAAACTTTGATGTACATTTACACTTTTCATTTATGCCTTTTATCTGTAGGTGATTATTTTTGTGAAGCATCGATGTCACTACGGTATTGTACCTCCTAAGAAAACCGGTCATAAAAGTAAGAATCTGACAAGGTATTTCAAACAACATGAAACAAAAAATCATATGGTTGTTTGTTTAGAGGCCGACTTTGGTTTTCATTGCGCAATATTTCGCACATCACAGTAAAATGGAGCGTAATAGTTTTTATTTTTAAAGCAACTTTTTTCACCTGATTAATAATATCAAACAAGATTAATAAATAACAGGTTTAAAATGTAATTACAATTTCATATACCTGATTTTTAACCGATTGTGCAATTGTTAGTTAGATTGACGCCGTTATAGTGTGTTTATGGCGTTATGATAAACTGAAGCTCTTAAGAAATGGGTAATAAAAATGTTATTAAAGAAAAAAATAATAAACATACGCTCTTGAAATTTAAAACAGAGAAATATTTATTATGTTTTCATGTACTTTTCATATTAATATAAATTGTGCCCGTTATATTTTGAAGTGCTCTATAAAAATAGGGAACTTCGTTATTATTTTTTTTTTGCATTTTGAGATGCCCCCTCCGCTAACAAAAGATAGAATTATGTGTTTCTTACATATAATGTGCAATATAATATTTCTCGTCATACATTATAGTTTTAACAAAAAGTATTTTGTAGTATTTGTATAATATGCTTTAAAGTGCTAAAAAGTGGCACTTTCCTATATAATCCTTTAGCAAATGTACTTGTATTTTGAGACGGTCCCTTAAGGTGGCTCATAACATTTACAGTTTATTTTAGATTTTATTACGGCACCACTTATTATGTAGATATCAGATACCCAAATGGAGGCTTTGATATCGTAAATATTTTTTAGAGAATTCTTTATTTTTTCCTATTTTTAGTAAAGTGTTTAATTTCAAGTTAATTATTACCAGAATTTTAGAATTTTCAGTGTCAAAAGATAAACATCTTCATATGTATATGTGGTTCATATTAAATAGGTACCTGCACAATTCGTTCCTAGAGGAAAACAATCGCAACAATAAATTTAATTTTCTGTATAGTACGTCATCAAAAATTGATGTAATGAGCCACCTTAAGAATACCTAGACGGTAGATTTTCCCCAAAATTGGCATGTACACTGAAGTCGATGTAAGGTATATATCATAATGGTGTAAAAATGAAGAGTTTCGCGCAATAAAACCCCAGTCGGCCCCCTTAAATCTGACTAGCCATAGCCAGCCAACCAAATCATGGACATTTAAACTATAATGTTCCCTACACATGATTCCTGCAGATCACACGCCAAATATACCCATTTTCGTTTTAGGAAATATAATACTATAAAATTTGATTATATATTTAAAGTTTTAGCCTGACATCGATACATTAATAACTTCATGATCAGCCGGCGCTGTCACCTTTTAGATCCGTGAAATCTGACAACTTAATTGTTTTCAATATCTGCAACCTCACTTATCTCCAGGAGAATCCCCAGAGGTGATTAAGGACTTAAACATTTCGTGTTAATACTCATTTACATTGTCATGAACAGCTACTTTCAATGTATATTATATTGCACATTGATTTATACACTGGGCGAGATCTTTGCTTGATAATGCGAGCACATTTTGATTGGAGTTCACTATCTACAACGCATGATCAACATACGTGCAGACAACTTTTTGACGTGATGAATTTTTCACATCTTGACTGCAATTGACATTTATTTTGCATTTCACATATCTCTGAATCTCTTTTGGCATTAAAATAGGATTTTCCGTGCACTTATTTCTCTGTAGCCATTTTAAACGGTATAGTGGAATTCAATAAAGACTTTACTTGACACTTTGCCTGTTTCAAGTGTTTAAAAGTTTTAAAGGGACACAGTAGATTTAAGTGAGATATCATCATTATATACCCGAGAAAATTCGCCAAGCCTTTACTTGGTATTTAGGGCGACTTTGTAGTGAGCGAGGTAACTTTATATTTATCGTTCCAGCGCCTGACGTGACATGAGGTCTGTTACCGCACAAATAATAAATGTCATTTTATGCAACTTGTTCTGTCTATACACTTGCGTTTCTTTATTATGTTCTTGTATTCCATGTATCATTTAATCACTTGATACCCAGATTCAAAAAGGTAAAAGCATTATGAAAAAAAAATTTAAAAGGAAAAGGATAATGTCAAGTGAAGCTAAGTTTGCTTGTAATATCAATTTCAAGTTCCTTGAATATATGTATGATAACTTTCAAGTGCAGAATATTTTTAAAGATCTTAAAGTATGTCATATTTCATGAAATAAATAGAGATAACGAACAGTTTTTGAGTTGGAAGGTCTATCAAATAATACAAAATTGGAGCGGACCTCTAAAATAACAGGATCGGTCAGGTAAACAAAAGCAAAACAAAAAGGAAATAAATCTCAATTCCCAGTATTTTCAACTGTTTATTATTAAAATAAATGTACTTGTTTATAAATAACTTGTTTATAAATTAAAACTTATTCCTTTATAAATTCCCGAATAATTTTTCCCATTGTTTATGTTACGAAAAAATGGTAACATAATTTTATTTCTTGGTCATTTAATAACTTGTTTGGTTTTACTTGAGGGTTGCGTGGAACACTCTTTTTTCAGCGTGGTACTTGTAAAACGAATAGCTTTTTCAAATAAAACATCTTACATCGAACTTTAAGAATTTTTCAAAAGAGTGACAATGTAGCTTTCTTTTTCTCTTAAACCTGTAGTTTATTTTTAGTGGTTATAATCTTCCCCTGATTTCTTAATTTAACAACTTAATTTTTTTAAAATTTATTCTAAATTACATTCATGTAAATATGCAGTCTCTCAAAATATTAATTGACTATAATAATGTCTATTCATTAAAAGATTGTAAGAAATCCTTGCTTTTTTAATAGTTTAAACTCCTCTCTGTTACAGTATAACAAAACAACAGGGAGCCTGCAAATTCAGAATACACAAGGGGACGGAACTGTCCATGATTTAACCATATTTCATTGTATAAAAATATGTAATATTTACAAACATAGCGAAAGTTTTAACAAGAAATGTGCTTAATCACAGTATATGTACATTGTTAGTTGGTATCAAATTTCTTGCAAATAAGCGTCAGTTTGATAAAATCCTGTTTACATATATTTGATTTTCTTTACTTTAACACTGTCACTTTCAGTGACAAAGAGGTTATCTGTGGTGTCAATGCACAGACCACATGAATCACCTACATCACAGCTACGAATAAAACGTAGAAACTGGCCGTCCTGGTTTAGGATGTGGAGACAGCCATTATAATGTTCTGCAGTCAGGATCTGACTCCGACTGTCTGTTGTGATGCCAAGTGGATCAAAGGATTCCTTGGAAATAGAGGGATGACCCGTGTATTTAAATCTCAGTACACCTTCCTGATTGACCACTATTACTGCACTAGCTTTACAGTCAGCTACATAGATATCCAGGTTCCTGTTTTCAGTGATGTATTTAAAGCAATCAGGGGAATACAAGGGGACACTTTCACTATCAAACTGAATGGTTTGTTTCTCTGTAGATCCAGAGAAACGGACAACTTTTGATTGTGTGTCATCGTCACTGAGCATGGTGACTAAGAGGTCACCAAAGGAAGAACTACAAATGTAGTAAGGTTTCCACTCCTGTAGTCTGATCACTTCCTGTATCTGTTTATTCTTCACTATGTTTACAGTTCTTGTATCATGGTCAGTATAAACTAGATCTCCACTCCTTTTCACTGCTATGTCACATGGTATGTTCCCTGATTTGGTTTGGATTGTCTTCAGTAGTTGGCCCTGGAGGTTGTAGAGTTTCATGATTTTGTCTTCTCCACATGTCCAGATTTCTTCATCACTGAGGCGGGTAACACTGTAAAGTGGATCATACCCAGCGTCAATGGTGATGATGAGCTCTGGTTCATCAATCAGCGGTTGGATTGGAGGACAAGATGCAGCTTCTGGTGTCTTCATTATGTAGCCATGTTCATCTGTTGTAATGGACAATGCTGACAGAGAACCAAACATTTGATTTAGCTGTTCCTTGTTTCCGTGATGAGGGGAGAAAATTGGCAAAGAAAATTTGACTTTAGGAGGTAAATTGATGAATTCAGCATTTCTTGAGATATACGCAGAGGCTAAGACATCATTGGAGTCAAGTATTTTCTTCAAACCAAGCATTGTATCTTCTACTTCAGAAGTAATCTTTTTCATTTCATTTCCCTGTTTATTCAAAATAGTCAAATGTTTGGTTTTCATCTGATTAATTTCAGATTTCTGTTTGTTGACGATACTGTTTATTTCACGATGCAAGAATTCTCCGTGTTCGGTAACTGCTGTAATCAATGTCTCATATCGCGCTTCGAAGTTTAATTTTTCAGACTGTAAATCTGACTCAATTTCTTTATAAGTAGGATATATTCTTTGCTCAAGCTCTTTAAAATCTCTTTTTAAACTTTCTGTTTTGGAGTTGAGTATCTTCAGAACATCTGATATATAATGTCCATCGTGTTTACTAGAGATGCAGATAGAACAGGCAGGAATGTCACATTTCTCACAGTAAACTTTACAATGTTTCTGGGTGTGGTTTGGACAATTTGGGTAGTTAACAGAAGGAGTAGTCTTCCGGTGTTTGTAGGGTACAAAAATGTGTCTTACGAATAAATCAGAGAGATGATCCCCTACACAGGCCTTACACAGGTTAATCTGACAAAGTTCACAATGACTCTGTAATGCTGCTGTTTGACACAGGTCACAGACGAGTAAGTCTTGAGCACTGGTTCGTGGGTCCATTTCGTGGGTAAACTGTCATATGATAACATGGATCTGTAAATATAATGAAAATAAATAAATTATTTTTTTTTCTTTAATGTTAGTCAAAATTTATTGAAGAAGGTGGAAAAATGTCTTGACAAAATCGATAAGGAATCGAACAACTTTTTTTTACACTTTTAAACTTAAAGGGAATAGTTCCTAAATCCTATTATCTCCTATCTTCTTTCTTTCCTTTTACAATTAAAACATTGTTGTTGTCAGAAAAATATGAAAATGGATAATTTCGATAACGTCTTACCTGAAACATCAACATGGCTCCCTTAAACTGTCTGAATGTATGTTAATAATTTACTTCCTTGTCCGTACTTTGAATCTCATCGTACTGCCAGGCCGTACTTTAAATACCTAAATATGTAACTTAAATAACCGTGACGCACGCAAACTGAGAAAATCATATTATGTCTGGGTATATAGTGAGAAAAAGTTTGAGGTTTTGTTAGGGTCTAATATGGTGTGATACGTGAATACTTTTAGTAGTGCGTTAACCTTGATTCAGTACGAAGAACTAGACATTTATGAAAACATGATAAAAAACAAAAGAACATAAGTCCTAATGTTTACCATATGATATTGATATTCTTTTCCACTAGTTACTTATGGTAACAAAAGACCATAGATATCATTATGATCTTTAATTTACAATGTACATTAGAATACAATATGTTTTTCGATTTATTACCATATGACGAGATATTATATGTGTTCAATATATAAAAAAAATATTTTTGCAAAATATTTTTGTACATTAGAATTTCAGCTTTGACTTTGAGTCAGCATTTTGAAACTCATTTTGCTAATGAACACACTAATGAACATACTAATAAACATACAATGTGAATATTGATTCGAAAAGAATTAAAGAATGATTTCGAAAGTTATGACCTGTCTTTATTTCATATAACCCAATAAAATAAACATTAAAGATAGATTGTTGAGTAACCCATCGGTCGAAATAAGGTTCTCTAGCTGTAAATTATTCAGATTACGATATTCAAAATTATAACATAGAAACTAAGGTAGCTTAACCGACTGAAAAAAATTTCGGATTCTGATTTTTTTTTTCATTCCAGGACACGATATTGCTTTCCGTTTCGGTTCTTTTATTCATTCAATAGATATTTTGAAATTTAATTTCTTGGAAAAACAATTTTCCCTATCGACTCAATTATATTACCCTGAGTCGAGAGAGTTTAACCAAACATGATTTAAAGACAGCCAAATATACTTTTTTATGAACTGCAATTTACAATGTTCATAGAATTACACATAAAAAATCAATAGCAAGATTTGGAGAGATATTAATCGATACACAATATCATGCCAAATTGCAGAATGGCAAGACAAACGATTAGCCTATCAAACTCGAAAAACACCACCTAACCACAGTTTTGCACTACCAAGTTTAAAAAACAAGGGCAGATATTTGAATGGAGTAAAGAATGTCCTTTTAAAAATTATTTATTGTTGGGATAAAGCACCTCATGATTAAATCAATCCTGCAAAAAATATTTTCTTTATACTTGCACATTTAGCAGTAAAACTGATCATAATCATAGCAAGCTTTGACGTTTAATTGAATTGAGGGAGTATTATCGAGACTCAAATTAAAACCAAGTTATCAAATTTTAAAATTGTAAAATAAACGTGATCAAGTAGTTTAAATAACATTTAAAACAACAGGAAAAATACCAAACATTATGTCATGCATGCCGTCACAAATTTGTGAACATTTTCGTAGTTCACTGAGGAACATATAAAAATGATAATATTCGATATTTGATGCTAGTTTCTATCACTCTAAACGACCCCTATTATAATGTGTTCCTTTAAGGGTTTGCTTTTGTGTTCAGCCAAGTGAAACTCGTTTAAAATAAAAATCTCAATATCTTAATAAATACTTCTTGCTTTTTCATAAAACTTAACCCATTCCACCTTCTATTGCAAAGCTGTCTTGAAATGTATTCAATTTGGTTGTCACTTGCAACGTCTTGCAGCCGCAATGTGCATAATACACTTGCAGGACTGCACAGCTGCAGGTCTAATAAAACAATAAAATGACATTTGTCGTATACCTACAGATAGTTGAACGTCATGGGTACAACTATTTGTTTTGTTCCTAGCAATTATATGCGTCCCTTTTCTATATTTGTATGTTTTTCACCACCTAGGCATGTCTGCCATGCGAAATCGGTGGGCTGCCATTCTCATGATTCCGGAATTGAAAACTATTGAATATTTCTGTAATCTGTTGTCTTTGGTGCCCTAATTACACAAAGCAATTGTAGAGAGATATCTCTTAAAATATGTCCATGTGTTGAAAGTATCGATCGACATATTTAATACTCTTTTTTCCTAATAGTTACATGGATATTTACATCATATCATAGAATGCTCCTTCTTGGATTTTACAATGGACCTGATAATCAATACGCGCCCAGTTTTAGCAGTTCTGATTGAAGTTAACCCCTGTTATTTCTTTTGCAGGTAAGGCTATAAAATACTTTTTGTTAAATAAGTATATTAATCCTACAGGTACAGTGCGATGTCAAAAAATTTAAACGCTATTGCACGAAAATAAAGAACTATATTCGCTATGCGTAGTTAATTTCTGAAGTCTGTCATGCGATATTCGGCTAAAGTGAAAGTAGGAGTTGGTAAGTCGATTTTTGTGTTTATTGTGAATTATGAGCCTTATCTCAGATATCTGATATCTTACATAACTGCTAGTGTCAGTAATACATTTTGAGTATGACAAAGCCTGTGATCTAGTGCACATCAATTTTAAATAGGTTAAACATTATACGGATGATCCCAAAAATTTCCACGTGGTTCTTGCAGACCACGATTAGGTAGCAAGGTACTAATAAATGTTACTTTGTTTCAAAATAACAAACATTTTCGAAATTGTTTCCAAATACTTTGAAGTTAAAAACAGGGCTTCAAATATTATGAGTAGAATAAATTTGGTTTTATTAACGAGCGATTAATACTGGTGTAAGATCGGATCATCCTTCATTGAGCCTCAGTCACTCAAAGTTAAATGTCCAATGATGGCTACCTGAAACTGCTCTACGTAGTAACAAATATGGTAAATCAGTTGTGTTACTTATAAAGGAAAATTTTGATATTCAAATGTTATTTCTTTTTTGTTGTATTTTTGTGAAAAGAGGTGCACACGGTGCAAGTATTATAATTCTTTATATAATGATATTCACACAAGATTGTACTACATGTATTTATATACAAGTCATTTTGGACCATACCCAGTCTGATTTGCTGAATGATGTTCGAGATATTGAAGCAAACCTCTATTCTATTAAGACCTCAGTGATAAAATTTTTAGGGATGCGCTTTCAGCATAGGCGTCGGAACCGGGGGGGGGGGGGGGGGGGGGGGCTTAGCCCCCCACCTTTTTTCCAAATATATACTTAGTATAGACATTGAACACATCTTCCTAAGTTTAGCCCCCCCCCCCCCCCTCTTTCCACAGATACGTCTTAGTATAGGTTAAAAATGGGGAAAGTGGTGGTGTTTGGTACTGGAGTTTGAACCCCACCCCCCACGAAATAGGATTTTCGTGCTTTGGAAATAGATATTTCCTTTTTTTTTTTGCTTGTCAGGTTATTTTTTTTTCAGGTATAAAAAAATTTTGTTTACACTTAGCGCTCCCCCCCCCCCCCCTATCAATTTGCTTCCGACACCAACTTTCAGTAATTAAAAACCATTCTGAATCAGTCAAAACACTGACACCCTTTAACAAAGACAGTAAGACTAATATTATTTAATAGCTAGATTTAATTTAAAGAAGTTCCTTTGAACATTTTAATAGAATTTATTGTAACTATGTTTACCATGTTTACAGAATGCCTTGTTTCACTAAAAAGAACATTACTCGGATATTTTTCTGGACTATCAATTTCTATACTTCATATGATGCCTGTGTTGCAGCCCTCCCAAGAACCTCCCTTGTAGGTGTTTTATTATAAGGTATGAGATGAGTTTTATATCACAATGAAGTGATTCTGTAAATTTTAAATGAGGGTTTAACACAGTATAATGTACTAGCTGTTATATCATAGTGAGCTGATTAGTCAGTTTATAATATTGTATTATTGAATTCAAATGTTCTTCTATGTGTATAGAATGGAAGAATGTATCATTTTTATGATGAGAAATATATATGCAGTTGGATGAAAAGAGAGATGTTGTTTAAATGAATGTTTATATTGTCCATCAAATTGTCTCAAGCCATGGTCAGAGTCTGCCTACAGCTCTCTCTTACAGTGCAAGAACTAACTTTGTTTCAGCATCGATGCTGATTTGAATGCTTTCTTTACTTACTGATGCTGATATTGGCAATGCTTAGCAGCTAGCTGTTT